CTAGTTAGTACAAAGGTCCATGGGTGAAAAAGAACATTTTTATATTTTCATGTTTTTAAGAGTTATTCATTTATTTACAAAAAAAAGGGAAAATTATTTCAATTTAAGTAACTTGGTTTGACAACAATCAAGAAATTATGTTAGATCACAATTTTTCCCCCTAACGAAGTACTTTACAATCAGGAAAAATCCATATATAACACAAAACATCCACATAACTAACTCTAAAGCATTAAATTAGAACACATCATAAGGCAGCTAAATAAAATGGTTCTATTACAAAGATAATTTTTTCTTTTGTTTCTATACTTTATGTATATATATATATTGTAAGCCTAGGAAGAACTAACCTACTTGGGTCTTCATTTCCTGGACCCATGTGTCTTCACCTTCATCTGAACAAATTGAACCACTAGTAGCTATGCCTAGGAGGAGTTAAGCCCCTTGGATCAGCACTCCATGCGCCCATGTTTCTTCAGCCTCTTTATCCACCACTTCCCTCATTTATCTCCTTGCCAACATGGACATTCCCCCTTTCCTCCTCAGGCTCACAGAAATTAATATTATCATTGTCTCCAGAAAGGACAAAATGAACCTCCCCTATTGTTCTATTCAAGAATACACAGAACTATACAAGAAAGATTTTAACATCACCAGTAACCACGACAGTGTGGTTACTTATCTAGAGCCAGACACCTTGGAGAATGAAGTCAAGTGGGCCTTAGGAAGCACTGCTTACAATGAGGTTAGTGGAAGTGATGGAATCCCAGCTGAGCTATTTAAAATACTAAAAGATGATGCTGTTAAAAGTACTGCCAGCATATTTGGAAAACTCAACAGTGGATACTGGATTGGAAAAGATCAGTTTACATCCTAATCCTGAAGAAGGGTAATACCAAAGAATGTTCGAATTACTGAACAGTTGCATTCATTTTACATGCCAGGAAGGTTATGCTTAAGATTCTGCAAGCTAGGCTTCAGCAATACGTGAACTAAGAATTACCAGATGTGCAAGCTCGTTTTCAAAGAGACAGAGGAACTAGAGACCAAATTGCCAACAATAGCTGGATTATGAAGAAAGCAAGGGAGTTTCAGAAAAACATCTACTTCTGCTTCACTGACTATACTAAAGACTTTGTGTGGTTCACAACAAAATGTGGAAAGTCCTCAAAGAGATGGGAGTACCAGATCATCTTACTTGTCTCCTGTGGAACAGGCTCAAGAAGGAACAGTTAGAACTGAACATGGAATAACTGATTGGTTCAAGATTAGAAAAGGAGTATGACAAGGCTTGTATGCTGTCACATTTATTTAACTTATTTGCAGAGTACACTGTGCAAAATGGCAGGCTGGATGGATCATAAGCTGGAATTAAGGTTGATGGAAGAGACAGAAATCTCAGACATGCAAACAACACTGTTCTGATGGCAGAAAGAGAACAGGAATTAAGAGGAATTAAGACGCCTCTTGAAGAGGGTGAAAAAGTAGAGTACAAAACCTGGCTTGAAGTTTCACATAAAAAAAATCTAAGACTTTGGCAAATGGTCCCATCATTTCTTGGCAAACAGAAGCATATTCTTGGGTTCAAAGATGGTGGCTGCAGCCATAAAATTAAAAGAAAGTTGCTTCTTGGAAGGAAAGCTATGGCAAATCTGGACAGCACACTAAAAAATAGAGATAACACTTTGCCAACGAGGGTCTGTATAGTCCAAGCTATGGTTTTTCCAGTAGCAATGTTTGGCTGTGAGAGTTAGATTATGAGGAAAGTTGAGTTGTGTAGAACTGACACTTGAGCTGTGGTGCTGGAGAAGACTTCTCAGAGTCCCTTGGACAGCAAAGAGATCAATCAGTCAATACCTAAAGAAATTAATCCAGGCTATTCACCAGAAGGTAAAATATTGAAGCTGAAATACTTTGGGATTCTTTGGAAAAGACCCTATGTTGGGAAAGACTGAAGGCAAAAGATAAAGGGGATGGCAGAGCATGAGATGGATAGATGGTGTCATGGAAGCAATGAACATGAACTTGGACAGATTTCTCGAGATACTGGAGGACAGAAAGGCCTTGGGGTTGACCAAAAAATAAACTGTTCTATTCATCACTTTGTGATTTCTCACACCAAAACTCCCTAAGGGTGTGGCTATCACTCCCCAGTATGGGCGGTCTTCTGGAATAAAACCTAAGATCCTTGAGGACAAAGCTGTTGTCCAGTCACTTCAGTTGTGTCTGACTTTGATGACCCCATTTGAGGTTTACTTGGCAAAGACACTGGAATGGTTTGCCATTTCTTTCTCCAGCTTATTTTACAGATGAGGAAAGTGAGGCAAACAGGGCTAAGTGACTTGCCCAGGGTCACACAGCTATTAAGTATCTGACACTGGATTCCAACCCAGGTCTTCCTGACTCCAGGTGGGGCACTCTATCCACTGTGCCACCTAGCTGCCTAGTTAAGGACAAAGGACTGCCTTGCTTTTGTATTCATAGCAAAAGAGCAAGCATGAACTAAAAGCTTTTCATCCATTCATCTAAACCCTCAGGTAGAAAAAGTAAGTTACTTGAGGGCAGGGACAGTTTTGTTTTTGTATTCCCAGGACCTAGCAAAAAGACTTGCAGTGGTAGGTGTTTAATGTTTGTTGAATGGAACTGAATCATATTCACTCTCTTACATGATGTAATCTATTATGGTCCTATTATGGAGTCTTTTCATGATCAGGGGTTGTGATTTTAAAATTTCCTCTTAATACATTAATTTTTCTTCTTTTTATTACTTTTCTTATACCACACATCTCCCCTACCACATGTTTCCTTAGTGCAAAAGAAATTAATGGATTTCCCATTCTTCTGATAAGTTATCTCCTAGAATAGGAAACCTCTACATTCTTACATGAATGTTCAAATCCATCATTTTAGGATTTAATACTTTTATACAATATTTAACTGCCATTGGGTATTTTCAAGAATTTGTAAGCAGTTTTGGGGAATGGCTGAACAAGTTGTGGTATGGTATATGAATGCTATGGAATACTCTTGTGCTATAAGAAATGATGAGCATATGGACTTCAGAAAAACCTGGAAAGACTTGTATGGACTGATGCTTAGTGAAGCAAGCAGAACTAGGAGAACATTGTTCACAGTAACAGCCACATTGTTCGATGACTGACTTGATAGACTTAGCCCTTCTTAGCAATGCAAGGATCTCCAAAAGTCTCATGATGGAAAATGCTATCCACATCCAGAGAAAGAACTATGGAGTTTGAGTGCAGATGGAAGCATATTATTTGCTATTTTTTTTCTTCTGTTTTGCTTTGTTTCCTTTATCTTGTGGTTCCTCCTATTGGTTCTAATTCTTCCATACAACATGACTAATGTGAAAATATTTTTAACAGGAATGTATATGTAGAGCCTGTATCAGATTGCATGCTGTCCTGGGGAGGGAAGTGGAGAAAAATTTAAAACTCAAAAGCATATGGAAGGGGCACCTAGATGGCATAGTGAACAGAGCTCTGGTCTTGGAGTCAGGACAACCTGAGTTCAAATCCAGCCTCAGACACTTAACACTTACTAGCTGCGTGACCCTGGGCAAGTCACTTAACCCTGATCACCTCACAAAAAAAAACACCACAAAAAAACAAACAAAAAAAAAACCCATATGGAAGTGATTGCTGAAAACTAAAAATAAATTAATTTAAAAAAAAGGAAAAAAATAAAGTTCAACTAGAAAAAAAAATTTGCAAGCAGTTTTAACTACGTCTAAGTTTCCTATTATAGCCGGGATCATCACTGAGAACAGTACAGCTCTGTCATTTGTCCAATTAATTTACTCCCAATTCAATTACTCCACCTCTCCCCATGCTTAACCCTTTCTAGACCTACTCTTGGTCCTCAATGAGACCTGCAATCCCTCTACACTTCCTCCCTACTTAGCCAGGTCATCACCCCTGCTCTGCCCATACTCTCTTCTCTTTCAAATCATGACTCTTGGAGAGTCAGTTAAAACTCTACACCAGGGGTGGCCTTGAGGCCACAAGTGGCCCTCTAGGTCCTCAAGTGTAGCCCTCTGACTGAATCCAAATTTCACAGAACAAATCCTACTGCTCTACACTCTACTCTCAAATTCCTTATTCCCTTGTCCAGTCACTGCTCATGGAAACATGATCAATGGGTCCACTACAAATTTATGTTATCTAATCTCAATTGGGTCCTTGCTGCAGCAAGACAATTCTACTATTTCCCCCTAACAGACTCCCTATTCTACACACCACAGCAGCTGTTCCAAAGCTTTTCTTCTCAAACTTTTTATAACCTCTTCCTTCCTACCACCTTTTCAGCTAGAGAATCTTGCCTCATCCAGAAATACTGAGACCATCCACTGAGGCCCTCTTCTTCCTTTCCAACCTCCTTTCCCAGCAGTGAGAAAATGTACCTCCCTCCTCTCCACTTTGCTATGGGTATGGAACACTGAAGATTTAGTAAGACTCTGAAGATATATGTTGGTTAGATTAGTTGAACTGTTTTTTTTTTCCTTTTATAAAAAACTGTCAAAAGACAGTCTGCTAGGTAGGAAGGGGGAGAAGACAGGTGGTGTAAAAATAACAGGAAACTACAAAAATTAGGGGACAAGTAGAAAAATAAAGAAGCAAATAGACCTGTTAAATAAAAATCTGAAATAAAAGTGACAAGAGGGGAAGCAACCTTGAGAAGGTGATGTAAAGGAAAATACGCAGTAGGTCTCTATGAAAAAAAAAACCAAAACACTGTACCTTCCAATGAGTCCCTCACAGGTCATTAGAAAATAGTTAGGAGGCAGCACATTTTGAGTAGTACCACTGTATTTAAGCATTAACACCTCAAATGGAAACTGTACGCTGGAACCTTATACTACTTTACAGACACTTTAAAAAAAAGGCCTATTATGCAAGACTTTTTCAGAAACAATCTACTAAAATCAATAAATTATTTTCTATACAGCAACTTAAAAAAAAAAGCCAGTAGAGTACACGTGATTTACATTAAAACACATGCAAGACATGGTTTTTTTTTTAATGAGTCAAGTTTGTTTTTTTTCCCCCCTATTCTAATAGACATAAGAACAAATATAACTACCTATTTTATCAAACTTTTCCCACTAATTAAGCAGGTAGGAATAAGGATGCTCTTACATGGATATAGCTTACTAGGACTTAAAAACAACATTTAAACTTAGGACAACTATTTATGTTCAACTGATGAAAACCATGGGAAAATTCAAAGTTCCAAAAATTGTTTGTTTCCAAACACACACCTGTTCAAATCACTGCAAATGGATCCAGTAAGCAAGTAACAGGTACAGCAGTGTTTTGATATGAGAGTTGGGTTAGATTTCTTCATGCAATTTCTGGTTTCCCTTCCTATGTTGACAAAATTCCAAGGATGCCACAGAGGGAGTACGTCTTCAGCTCCAGAAGCCAAAAGAAAAGACTTTTCTTTTTGATCCAACATCTCCATTCAATTGGAAAACTGCATGCTTAAATCTTGGAAGACATGTTTGTTTTTTGTTTGTTTTTTCTACTGAATTTTCTTTCCTGGAATGTTTCCAGCTGTTTCAAGAGGCTTATGATTATGGGAAAATAAAATGCAAATTCAATTAAATTTCTAGTGGGGTGGGGTGGGTCAAATGATTGTTTTGAGGTTAAATCTTAGAATTGAAAAGGTCACCTTAGACTCAGTTTTGGTCTCCAAATAATGGAAATCGACAACAGTTCATTTGATGGGCCAGAGAGCCCATGCTGCGCTAGGCAGCAAGAGAGCGATGAGGATGGAAGAAAACAGGTTCACAGCGTTGTTATCAAGAATAGGCTTCCCCGATATGTATTTCGTCTCACCAGTTGGCTGGCTGACAACTGAGCGGGTGTTTTCATCCCAACCTGAAGCGGAAAGGAAGGAAACATAGTACAGGCTCAGCTCACAAATTACAGATAACCATACTGAAATGAGGTACAAGCAACTATCTCTTAAAGACACACTCAACCACTTAGATCTCTAAGCCATGGAAAGGAAGTCAGGTTTGGATTTTAGTGGAGAAGGTCTAGACGTTGGTCAAGTTAAAGCAATAATTTCATCAACACCCCAGCTCTTAGCATGGTGCCTAACACACTGCAGGTGCTTCCTAAATGTTTGCTGATTTATTGATTCACTATGGAGATTCGTAAAAACAAACAGCTTTGATAAAATAATTTTGTCGTTTAGTCGTTTCAGTCATGTCCGACTCTTCGTGACCCCATTTAGGGTTTTCTTGGCAAAGATACTGGAGTGGTTTGCCATTTCTTTCTCAAGATCATTTCACAAATAAGATAATGTAACCTTATTACTAAACAGAAATGATCAAGTAAACCAAATGAGGAATAAAATATAATCATGAACAAAGTCAAGAGGAATAAAATCACACATAAAAATTCAAGTATTTACATTTTCATAAAAGGAAGGCTAAACAGTTACAAGATCTTCTTTGCTCTCTGTTTTCTTCCTATATCTTTTTTGTCTGTGTATGTTTGAGGGGGAAAGATGGGGAGGGAGAAAGGAAAGTCTGGACCTGTGATTTCAGTGATCTAGAAAACTCCGAAATGAAATTTATCTGCAAATTTTAATTGTATTGGCTGCAGCACTAGTGTGTCAAGACTTGAACCTAGGCCTTCTTGGTTCTAAGGCTGGCCCTTTATTCAATATGCCATGCTGTTTCTCTGTATACATATAAGATTTTACTGTGGTTATTTTTGAAAACAGGCTGTGGATACACTCTTAGATTTTTGTTTTCTTCACTTGGCATTACTTCACATATTTCCCAAGTTCTTTTTGTGTCCTTTATACTTACAATCTTGAATGGCACAAGGGAAGAACATTGACTCAGGAATCAGAGGCCCTGAGTTCAAATCCTACCTCTGATATTTACTACCTGAGTGACTTTGGGCAGGTCATTTCCCCACCCTGGGCCTCAGTTTCTTCATCTGTAAAACTACTGGGTTATGTCCAAAGTTCCCTCTAATGTTAGAGCTATTCCACTAGATACAACTCCAAAATTTATTCAGTCATTCCCCAACTATTGGGCGTGGAGTTTAGTTTTTCACTTTTATAAACAAAACTGCTATTAACATTTCGGTAAACATAAGTCTCTTTAGAATTGCATCCTTAGAACTCAGTTTTATAAATGGGATCATGGGCCAAAGTATATGATCAATTTTGTAAACTTTATATATGGATTGACCTTTTGTTCTTCTGCATTTTCTCCCCAATTCTTTATAGACCAATATAGTTAAACTGAAGTTTAAAAGGTAATGTAAATATACTTACCAGAGTACTGCATTGTTGCTCCTAAGTATGAGTCAATAACTGACCCCAATAAACCGGCCATTCCCGCAAACGCAACAACTGGCCATTGGGGAGCAGAAGATTCCAAATCATTCACAAAAATCAGCTGTGTGAAGAAGAAGGCCATGCCCACCAAGGACCCACCAAGAAAGCTGGAGAGAAAGCCTACCGCAGTGACCCCTCCATTGGTACCTAAAAAACATAACACATCCCCATTGAACTAAGAAACGTCACTTGTTGACTCGGATAACTTAAAGAGAATTGAACAGCCATTAGGACTACTGTTTACAATTATGGATATAAATGTGATGACAAATGGGGGAGGGGGAGTATCAAAGCCATCAGGTTGGAAAAACAGTGGGTAAGAGTGCTAGAGCTGGAGTCAGGGAGACCTGAGTTCAAAACTGGCCCTAGAGACTAAATAGCTGTGTGCTTCTGGGCAAGTCATTTAACCTCTGTCTGCTTCAATGTCCTCATCTGTAAAATGGGCATATAATAACAGCACCTACCTCAAAGGGTAGTTGTGAGAATCAAATGAGATAATATTTGTGAAGCACTTAGCACAGTGCAGCACATAGTAGGTGCTATATAAATGTTAACTATTACTGATAGTAGTAATAAACAGGCACCTGAGATGAGCTTTGAATAAATGAAAAAGCATTTACTGAGTGCTTACCCTGGGGTCATTCATCATGCTAAGTGCTAGGGATATAAAAGAAACAAGACTAGGTGCCAACAAGGACAGAACTTAACGAGAAGGGAAGACAATGCAGAAGGGACAGCAGGAGGTGGAAATCTAGGGCTTCCAACAGGCAGAGCTGAGCAGGGAGTCTATTCTAGGCACTAGGGACTGCCGGGCAAAAGACCGAGAGAATGTGAGAAGTAAGAAAGCCCGTTTATTTGTACCCAAGAAAACATGAGGGGAGTGATGTTCATAGGAACCATTAGATAAGGACTCACTGCCTAACTGATTATGTTATCCCCTTCTTGAGCCAAATCTGATGAGAGTAAGGTTTAAACAATGCTCATTTCCCTCCCTTCTTTCCCTCTGCTAGATAAGGAATCACTGAGGATGAGAGGATGACTGTGGGGGCAATCTGGGAGAAGCTGAGAGGTATGATATCAAACGCACCTAGGGTGTGGTGAGGAGGACCACCTCTGGAAATGTTCATGGCTTTTGAGATGTGGAGGAGTGAAGAGGAAGCTCGCTGGGAACTGAACGGTCTCTACTTTCCCCAATGGAATATGATTATAAGGTCTTCAGCTCACTTAGGGCTGGGTGTTGTAGTGGAAAACTGTTTTGCGTATGTTTCTTAAACTCTTGTCTTGTTGCTTGAGACTCATCTTCTAGTTTTGATTTGCGATGTAGTTTTAATTTGCTGCAGAAATTTACTAGCTGGCTTGCTGAATCCCTCATGCCTTGGCCTCCCTTGACTGAGTATTCTGATAAATTACCATCCCCTTACCTTGTTCTTAGGTATGAGTCCCTAACAGCGAAGTTGTCTAAGGTTAGAACACTGGGTGGTCCTTCCTTACCCAGCACCTAGAAATAAGCCTTATCACTGTTCAGATCCACAGGGGGAATGCCCCACAATGCCCTATCCCCATCTAGATGGTTAGGGGAGCACTCGATAAAAACCCTGGTGGAGCAAAGACTGTCAGTCTCTTGACTGCATGATTGTCTCCTACCCTCGGCTGAAGCACCAGGAATTCCTCCTCTCTCCTTTTTCTTATTTCCTCTAATAGGCTTTGCCCACTTATACTACTGACCTCTGGGCTTTGCTCACTACCCTCTAAAAATGTCAGCATGCTACTAATAAAGCTTCCTGTAATGACTCTTGAAGTTTTCCTTTCCTCTCAGAATTCAACTGAACCACCTATATAGGTAAGAGGTAAAGGCTGGACCACCAGTACTTCCCTTTAGCTTAAGACTTTAGCTTTAGCCTAGGGTTCCAGATAGGTGTATATTTGTGAGTAGGACCTCCTGCCCTCACTGAAGAGACCAAGAGTCTTCTGGTCCTCAAGGCTGGGGGTCTAAACCTAATGCCTCAATGTTACGGAATAGGACCTGGATGTCTCTGCCACAGGGGAAGGGAGTTTCTTCCCTGTTGTGGTCAAGGTGAGGCTTGTACCCCCAGTGATATAGGTGTCGTGTAGGAAGCTTGACAAGAGAAGAAAAGGTCTGGAACAGCCCACTGAATGGGAAATGAGACAGAAATTCACTGAAAGGAGTTCTGATATGCAACATGATCTTCTCTAAAAGCTGAAGGGAAGAAGGTTTGGGTAACTACATAAACCAAGATTAGTTTTAAAGAAAGGACTGTCTCCTATGAGATGAAAGACAATGGGCCATCTAGAACATTTATTCTTTCTTCTTTGGCTCATGAGATCTTAGGACAGATATTATCATGGATTCCAATGTTTCCCTCTGAATCCCTCAGAGAGGTATCTTGGTATAGTGGATAAGGTGCTGGCCTTAGAGTCAGGAGCACCTGACTTCAAATCCTGCCCCCAGATGCTTCCTAGCTGTGTGACCTTGGGCAAGTCCCCAACCTCTTTGTCTTCAGTGTCCTCATCTGTAAAATGTGGGGGACTGGGCTCAGTGGCTTCTTCTCCTGTTTTTTGTTTTTGTTTTTTTTTGAAGGCAACTGGGGTTAAGTGACTTGCCCAGTAAATGTCTGAGGCAAGATTTGAACTCAGGTCCTCCTGACTCCAGGGCCAGCGCTCTATCCACTGTACTACGTAGCTGCCCCTGACCGGCTTCTAAGGTCCCTTCAAACTCTAAATATATGACCCTATGACAAGTGACTGTATCTCTAGCTAGAAAATGCCTATGAATATTTTATATTAATAATAAATTTTATGTTAATAACATCTGTATTTCATATTAACAAATTTGTGTTTATGTTACATTAATATAAAACACTTTATATTTATAACAAGTTAAGAAACCGTACTAATTTTGACTGATTAAATCTTCACTTTCAAAGCCTAAATAAGATTAAACAGACATTAAACCAGAGATTTCAAAACCAAGGTCACGCCTCACCAATTGGAACTCTTTGCCAGGTTGTTATCAGCCTTGGTTGGGTGGTACTCGCAACAGAGCCAATTTCTGAAGCCCATGTATCTCCCGCAGAGGAGGCCAAGGAAGCCAAGAGAGACAAACACATCCAGGAAGCGGTGTACTGTTTGGAGAAATCAATGCAGATTTCACCGGGCCCGTTTTCTATCATGTACAGCAATGCCAGCTCTGTAGGCACAGCTCCATTACAGAAAACCTGAATCCAATTTCTCTGCCCCCCTGCAGAAAAAAAAAAATTAAGACAAACTTGTAGGCTCCAAAGGAAATGCTTAAAGAACTACAAAAGCCACCTGCAGAAAGGATGTGTATTTTTTTTAAACTGTGAAAGGCAATGGAAGATATGATTGTGGAATCCTTATGTGTTCAGTATTGACCAAAATGAGGATAAAATGTATGATAAAGTATAATAGAATGTATTATGGCATAAACTGTGCTGATGGCTGCTGTCACAATTAAATGATTTAAAAAGAAGAATAGCTCAAATGCTCTAAAATTCTAGGAAGGGGCAGCTAGGTGGTGCGGTGGATAGAGCACCGGCCCTGGATTCAGGAGGACCTGAGTTCAAATCCGGGCTCAGACACATAACACTTACTAGCTATGTGACCCTGGGCAAGTCATTTAACCCCACTGCCTAGCCAAATAAATAAATAAAGTTAAATTCTATGAAAAAAGACTACACTGGGGGCTATCATAAATGACTTTCAGATAAATTTAACCATGTCAGAAGAGCCAAACATGCTTACATTTGAGGAGAGAAACAAAAAGAACCAAGTTCAAGGCAGACAGCTTGGGATATTGTACAGTGAAACACAATTTACTCGTGACGTTATCAGCAGATATGATAAAATTTACCTTCTTTATATTCGGGATCTACACGCTTCTTTTCTTCTTCTTTCCACTTGGTGAGTTTCGAGGAAGAAATGAAAAATGTCATCAGAGAAGTAAAAAAGCTCAAATTTGCGATGGTCAAGATGAATCCAACTACTACTCCTAAAAGAGACACAATGAAGAAACGCACAAAAGTTCAGTCTATACTTTCATTAATTTAGAGAAAGAAAAATAAAAGTTATGACTTTTTCCTACCATTTCAAATACACATTTCTGAAATTTATACTTAGCAATTTAGATATTCCTAAACAGAGAGAGAAGCTGAAGCCGTTTCAGGTCCATTTGTTTCTTTTCTTTCCTTTTTGTATAAGAAATATAACGTCAGCTTCACCAGTCTCTTCCACAGAGACTGTTCTATTTACTATGCTGTTACTATACCTTTAAGAGGCAATAAATTCTTGTGCATTTATATATATGTTTTAATACTTTGTTATGCTACCTTTATAATTTTCCTAGTATTGAAGCAACCCTACATGCCTGATGTAAATTCATGCAAGGGTAAAATCTTAATATATGTATTAAAACCTTTGCTTAAATTTTTGCATCAATATTTACCACAGATCTCAGTCTGTAGTTTCTTTTTCTGCTTTATTTCTCCTTGGTTTAGAGAAAGGAACCATATTTGTCTCACAGAAGGTGTCTGGTAAGATCTCATCTTTATTTGTTTTTGCAGAGAGTTTATATTACATTGCAATTAAGCTTTCTTTGAATGACTGCCATAATTCACTTGTAAAGCCATGTGGTCCAAGTAAGAACTATTCTCTTAATAAGATGTCGCAATTTTAGTAATTAATGTGGAAATATCAAAACACACCCTTTCATTACTTTAGAACCCAGAAAGAAGTCTATCAGCCAAATGTGACAGACTGTAAAGCCTCACTTCGCAAACAGTGCTATATAAATGTAACATTATTACGTAATGTAACATTAGCTTCTGCCCTGAAATTAAAGTCGTTATACTTTCAAAAGAACTTTCATATTCATAACTTTCATTTTCACAATAACCCTATGAAGCAGGTAGGGCCCTTATTATCTCTGTTTTACGGGTGAAGAAAATGAGGTTCAAGGAAGTTAGATGACTGCTCAAAGACAGCTATATTTTATTAGTGAATCCAGGACCAGAATCTATCTCCTAATGCCCAGAGTTAGAAGCAGCTAGGTGGCAGAATAGGTAGGAGTGCTGGGTTTGGAATCAGGAAGGCCTGAGCTTGAATTCTGCCTTAAACACTTACTGGTTGTGTGATTCTATGCAAGTCACTCAGCCTTTGTTGCAACATCTGGGAAATGGACCTACCCTACAGGGCTGATGTGAAAATGAAATGAAATCGTATATGTAAAAAACTTTGTGAACTTTCAAGCACTATATAAATGCTATCATAATAATAATAGCTAACATTTATATTGTACTTACTGTATACCTGGCACTGGGCTAAGCCCTTTACAAATATTATCTCATTTTATCCTCAAAATAACACTAGGAGATAAGTGCTATTATTATCCCCACTTTACAGATGAGAAAATTGAGGCAAACAGAGGTTAAATGATTTGCTGAGTGTTTGATTAAAGTGTCTGAGGTCAAACTTGGACTCGGGTCTTCCTGATTCCAGACCTGGCACTTTACCCATGGTTACACCTAGCTGCCTCCAATGATGATAATATGATCATCGTCATCATCATCGTCTAGTGCTCCTACCCTAAAACCAACGTCTAATTGTTGCTAGATTCATACATTTTCCAATACTTTAGGCTATCTGTATAATAGATAAAAGCTACAGAGTCAGTTTTCTGTATATAAGAAAAATTTCCTAACAATTATAGTAGTTATAAAGCAAAACAGGCCATCTGAGATGGAAGGGCATTCTTTCCCAGAGATAATGGTAATGTACAGAAAGTCTGGTTTTGTCTAAAATACATTCTCTCTCTGCTTGTTAGGGGCTATTTACTTTTCCAGCCTGGTGCCTGGTAAATCCGTTGAGTGGGCCATCAAGGACTGCCACTCTTTCCATCCATCCTGCTAGCAACATTTTCAAAAGAAATCTAACAATTTGACAACAAATACTACTGAGGAGCCTTCTGAATCACTTCTGTGAGGGTTTTAAATTTGATCTTTTACATGTTCTGCATTTTTTCCTCTTCTAATTATCACTTCTCTTTACTATCCTTCCACTCTCCCCATCCTACTTCTACTTTAAAGAGACATTTTAATGAAGACATTTAGAATAAGAAATAGATTTTTTCCTATATTAAAAAAAGTTATTGAAAATGTACATTTCTGGCAGAGCCAATATAGTGGAGTAAAAGCAGCGACTTGCTTGACATCTCCCCTAAACCCCTCCAAATACCTGTAAAAAACGGCTCTAAACAAATTCTAGAGCAGCAGAACCCATGAAAATGTACATTTCCCAAGGAGTTCCAAAGCTTTCTTATGAGAAAAAGAAAATCAAATACAAGATTGATATGTTTTGACCAGCTGAAGTCTCCCTTCCCATAGCCAGTAAAACACAGAGGATGCTATATCTCTGTATTTACACGCTCCAATAGAGCATGGGCTTTTTAATGCGGGGGCCCCTGAACTTGGGGAAAAATGCTTTCTTTATTTTCCCTAACCTCTAAACTTAGCATTTCCTCCAATTATTTTAAAACATTATTTTGAGAACTCTGCCAAAGGGGGCTAATAACATAAAAGGAGATTAAGAAGAAGACAGAAAGGCAAATGAAAACACTTTCAATGACACAAAAAAAGGTAAAGGAGGTAAAAAGAATAAACAGAGTCTGTCAGGTAGGTTTGGAATTTAGAAGAGCTTCCTAATTCTGGCTAAGTTAGAATAGGTGAGAAATGATAAAGATTTCTTTAGCACAGAAAAGGTCTCTCCACCCCCACCCCTCCACCGCAATCTGCTAGAATAAGCTTATAATGTCACTCCTCAACAAACTGTAACAAATCAAGTGAGATAATGTATATATATGGAGGCTAGTAGGGACTTGAATAAACGCTTACTGCAAAAAAAAAAGAATCACTTGGTTAATCATTCACCGCAATTAAATCTAGCCATTTCACAGGGCGAAGGTGCTCAGTTTACACCACAGGAACGTGGCCAAGTGGCATTCTGGCTAGTACTGGACTTGGGGTCAGACGACCTAAATCTTCCCACAGACACTAGCTGCATAACCCTGTGCAAGGCACTTAATAACAATAACAACAGCTAACAATTACATAATATTTACTCTATGCCAGGCACTGTGCTGACACTATACAATTATTATTTCACCTGATCCTCAAAATCTACCTGGGAGGCAGGTGCTATTATCATCATCATCATCATCATCATCATCATCATCATCATTATTGGTATGCCCATTTTACAGATGAGAAAACTGAGGCAAACAGAAGTTAAGTGACTTTTCCAAGATCACAGAGCTAATAATCATCTGAGGCTGGATTTGAACTCAGGTCTTCCTCATTCTAGGTCCAGCACTTTATCCACTGTGCCACAACTTCTCTGTGCCTCAGTAGCCTCATTTATAAAATGAAGAGCTTGGATGCAATGGCCTCTAAGGTCTTTTTATAGTTTTATCTCTATAGTTCTGTCAAATTAAAAAATGTTACATATAATACAAAATACAAAAATATATATAAAATGTGAACATATATATAACATAAAATAAAAATAACATACACACATATTTGGGCTTGGAATCCGGAAGACTCATCTTCATGAGTTCGAACCTGGCCTCAGACACTTAGTTGCGTGACTCTGGGCAAGTCACTTAACCCTGTCGGCCTCAGGTCCTCATCTACAAAAACGGGCTAAAGAAGGAAACGGAAAACCTCTCCAATATCTTTGCCAAGAAAACCCCAAAATGGTGGCTACAAAGAGTTGGACAAGACTGAAACAACTCAACAATGATATGTCTGTATGTATATTTCCCAATTAGCAAAATTCTGCCTTCTCTTCTACCCACCCAAATTGATCCACCCCTTACCCCACCCAAATTAAGAATGCAAGAAAAACAAAAGACCTGTTAAAACATGAATACTCAAATTTCTGCACTGGCCATGTCCAAGAATGTGTCTCATTCTACACTCTGAATCCATCAACATTCCATTTCTTTCTTCCATAGCTCTCATTTCTTTTCCAATTTTCCCCCTAGCACTCTCATTTCACTTATTAAAAAACCATTTTTAACCCTTTCTGTAAAATCTTGCTTCATTTCTTCTAGGAATTCTAGTTGAATCTAGGCCCAACTGTTTTCCTTTGAGGCCTTGCTTGTAAGTTGTTTTGGAATCATTCTCTTCTGCTCTTGCATCCTGAGCACCCAGGTCACCATAATAGCTTTTCATGATCTCTGTGTGTTTGCTCATTCTTCCAGCCCACTGTTAGGCTTCAGGCTTAATTTTAGTACCAGGCTCTGTGTGCTTCTCAACGGAATGTCTCTGCAGGTTCTGTTGCTTCTTTTCTGGGACTCTTTTATTCAAGGATGCCAGGGACAGCTCAGGCTGGGGACCTGCAATATTTCAGCGCTCCCAAAGCGGTCTGATCGAAGGCAAAGTCTGATGGCTGACCTCTTGGTTTGAGCTCTGCAAGCTCCTGACTTGCGTTTGGGTCAAAGCAACAGCAAAATGTCTACAGGCCTCACTTCCATGTTGGTCAGGGCAGGAAAAATGACTCACAATGCCCTTTTCTTGGATTTCCCCATCACGATTCACTCTGGTGCTTTTTCTAGGTCTGTTTAGACGAGTTGGGTTTTTGTTTTGTTTTGCTTTTTTGTTGGGAGTGAGCTCACTGTCCTGTTTTCTGCTACTCTGACATCCTGGCTCCATCTCCCACTGCTGACCTTGAAAATTCCCAACAGTATTATTAAGAGACTACAGTCAGGGACCATCCTCCTGTTCTCTTCTATATCAGACAATCACAGACTTATGAGTTGGAAGGGATTTCAGAGGCTATCTAGTCTTCATTTAAAAGCTGAGGAATCTGAATCCTAGTGGTTAAGCTGACTTGGGCAAGCTTACACAGAGACAAAACTGGAATCCAGGTCCCCAGATTCCAAATCCAGCGTGCCAAACTGCTTCCAAATATCTGTATCACTCCATAATAATC